ATTGTATAGAATGAAAACATAATAAAATATACATTAAAAAAAAAAAAAAAAGAATGTACCTAAAGCTAAAAAAAAAAAAAAAAAAAAGTACCTAAAGCTAAAAAAGAAGAAGAAAAAGAAATACACAATAAAAATGCATAAAAATAAAATTTGCAAAATAAAAAAAATGAGTGTGACATATTGGCTGCATTCACAAAACATACTTAATCTTCTTAGTGAATTATGCCATTTTTCTGGCTTTGTGAAATGCAGTTGCAAGTACAGCAATATTCTCCTCCTACCCTCTAAAATCTATCCTCACAGAGGATCAGAACTATGACAAAGTCATGCCATCAACTCTAACATGGTTGATGGTATAAAAAGTCGCTTGTGCTACATTTAGTAGCACAAACAGGAACATCGTATTCCTTTCATAATTCCTTAGGAGATTGTCCACCAGGAAACTCATGCCACTTTTGTGCCATGACTTTGCCAGAAGCCAGAGTGAAAGGAGATGCACAAAATCAGTTTCATCAAAGAACTGTTATCTCCTGTAATATGTAGGTGACCTTGGCTAGTAAAGGAAAATTTGACATACTAAAGCTATTTAGTATCAACTAAGAGTGCTGGATATAAAGGAAGAACAATGGTAGAAGGACAAATACAGTGGCCACATCTTCAAGGTGCATAAAACAAACTTATGCAATAACACAAAATGATGCAAGGCATTATTCTCAATTCACATCCAACCTCTGTAAGGTTACTCTCCACCCTTCTTTTCTTGCTCCACATTAAAGTAGCATTTTCTTGCTGTGCTAAGCAGTCTGTCTGCCATGCTTCATTCCATTGTCGGCAATGTTTCTGCTCCAATTAGCTCATGTGCTCTGTAGTGGGAATGCCCTTCCCCTCCAGTTCTTGCTCTGCATGGGCGGTTCATTCTGATAGTCTATCTGTGGAGAAAAGCAGAAAGTTTGGGGTTTTTTCACAGGTTCCCCTAGCATGCTTAATTTCCAATGTTTCCTCAGTAAATCAAGATAACTCATGCACTTGATGAACACACAAAGACTGCTTAAGAGTCTTCTGGTCAAGAGCCAGATTATTCCAGCTCTCCATTAAGATTTCAGTAACAATGTCATTCAGTAACGTCCCTCCTAGCATATCCTGGGATTCCACCAGATCCAGAATACACCATGGATTGACCCTGAATCTTGCCTTGTCTCTCCGCAAGGAGGGTTGAAGCAAACCATCTCACCCTTCAAGCTGGTGATCTATCCATAACAAAAGGGCCACTTTTGGCTCCCAAAGCCTGGATTATCATTATGGATGCAAAAAGATTGGTGGTTTACCTTAATGAGTGGCAGATATAATTTGAACTGGGCTAGGGTAATTCTGAAATGGCAGCCATTTTGATCTAATCTAATCACAGGAAACTGTGAGTTCAAAGTTCTCCCTTAAGGCAGGATTTTTTAAAAAAACCTGTAACTTCCCCTCGCCACATGAATTTTTCAAATAAATTGGCTTAAAATGTTGAAGTCTCCTATACCAAGAGCTTCAGAAATGTCAACATTACTGCCAGGACTATATCCAGCAGCAAAACTCTTCCGCACTAGGAACATATGACCATCTGTCTTCTGTGGAGTTGGGATCAAAAAAATATTTTTCTGTTTTCTGACATCAAGTTAGTGCCTTAGAGAATAAATGGATGCTTGATGTTACCAATTTCACACCACAAATAGTGCTACTTATGATAGAGTTATGATAGAAACAATTCTATCTTAATTTTGTTAGGCATATTTTGATGCAAGGAAGATTTGACGATTCTGATACAATACTTCTTATGGTATTAAAGTACTTTTCACACTCTTGGATCATTTCCTGCCCTTGCCTAAAAAAGAGACTGAGAATTTTTTATAACCAATCTCTTTCTATATATATCTATATATCATCATTTTAGTCATTGTCTATGAACTGAAAGGTCTCCTTCATGGATGTTTTTATCAAGTGGGATCAGAGATGGGTTCCTACTGGTTCGCACCAGTTCGGTAGAG